AGGAAGGACAAGCTGTCTCTGGATCAGTCACCACCATCTAAGCAAGATGTGGTCTTCAGGGGGAATTTCAACTGGCTGGGGGAGCAATGAACAGTATTGGACATTTGAATCATGATGAAGTTTTCAGCTTTAATAAGAAGAGGTCCTTAGGAATTTGGGGGAGGGTGTCAAAGTGGAATGATAGAATAGCTACTCAGGTCCAGAAAAACAATGTAAGGCCAGGGGTCACGCACCCAAAAGAGGAAGCAAGGATCTGGGAGAGAAGGAAGCTGCTGAGCAAGGTGCCTGAAAAGTTTTGTGAGTGTTTTGAGCGTGGATGGAAAATTCTTACGATAAGAAGGTTTGAGAATCCTGCAAAGCAGTTCTCCACTTCTCCTGCTTCAGATCTTAAGATTAGATATTTATGTTTCGGAAATCCAATTTCCTTTGTTTATTTTTTTCTCTGCTTCCAAGTTCTGTTAAGACATGCTGACTGGTTTCTGATGTATTAAGAGAAAACAGGTGAAAAGATTTGCTTCACCAATGGGCTCACCTATTTTTTTTAAAGTGTAAAGCTCACACCCTTGTGTGCCTGGGCCTGGTAGCAGCAGCTTGAATTAAAGTGAGAAAATCCTAAGATCTGGATATTGTTTGCAACCCCATTTTCCCCCTGGGGATTCCCTTTAGAGATCAGTCATTTCTGTCTAAGTTGTAGAGGTTGTTTCCATGGCAGATTGCATCACCTCCACATGACTGCCATCTTTACTCCCATTCCACAAGCTCTTCTTATAATGTGACGTGGATACTGCTTCTGCAGAGAGGTGGGCAACTTCATTCTCTGCCTTGGAAGTGGGCAAAGATTCTGACTCTGGTGAAGTGATGCGAGGCATCTTCGAAAGCTAGGACATAAAGGGTAATACATTTTCCACCTGGTTCTATTGGGATGCCAGCTCTTGGAACGCAGCCACCATGCTGTGGGGAAGCCCAAGCAGCCTGTGGAGAAGCCCACATGGAAAAGAAGTACAGCTTTGCCTACAGCCCTGGCTAACAGCCAACATCAACTTGCTAGCCATGTGAGTGAGCCATCTTGAAAGTACAAATTCCCTCCCCCAGTTGGTCAGATGCCATATGAAGCAGAGAAGAGCTGTCCCCACCAAGTCCTGTCCAAGTTGCAGATTTGTTAGCAAATAAACCATTCTTGCTTTAAACTACATTTGGGGATGGATTTTTTTACATGGCAAGATAACGGATATAGTTCCCTAATTATATAAACATTAAACATTCTCTTTAGTGCTCATTTTGAGTAAATTACTTTAACTTAGAACTGGGGGGCTTCTCTGGTGGCACAAGGGGTTAAGACGCAGCTCTATGAAGCTGACTGCAGCCACTGCAGCATGAGTTCGATCCCGGTCAAGGAGCTGACCCACATGATGCAGCAGACATTTTCTGTCTCACCCACTGCTCCCCTCAGCAGTGTATTTCAGTCAGTCTGCCTGTTCTGTTCCCCACTCTGTCTCTGGTGCATCCTCTCACCCCCCACGCCTCTGGCCTGTACCCCAGTTCTTGCATGCATAAATTAATAAATCTTAAAAAAATTACTTTTACTTAGAACTGCTTCTCTTCCTGATAAGCAGCTGCCCTAACCTAGATTCTACAAAAGAAGTCTGGGCCTGCTGAGGAAGGTGAGAGGTAACAGGTGAGTGAACTGTTGTTTTCTTTTCTTTTAAAAGATTTATTTATTTATTCATTCATACAAACACGGTACAGTCAGAAGCACGGGAGGGTGAGAGAATTCACCAGAGACAGAGCTGGGAGCAGAGCAGGCAGAAGGACCGAAGCACACTGCTGAGGGGAGCAGCGGGCGGCAGGAGAGGTCTGCGCGCCATGTGGGACCCTCCCCCGGTGGCCAGGGAGCAGCCGGGGATTGAACCGACCTTGCACAGGCTGCAGGCAGCTTCGGAACCCAGCGCTCAACCGCTGCGCCACCGGGGAGGCCCTGAACTGTTGTTTTTAAGTCCTCTCTGTTCAGTGGATGTGAGGAAGGAGTAAGGATAGTGTCCTCTCTTTCTACACTGGAAGCTTTGGCCAGCACTTTTCAAGGGCCTCCAGGGATGTGTGGGTAGGTGGCTAGATAGGGTTTTTCATGAAGTAACTAATGAGACTATATTTTGGATTTTGGATTTCCAAAAACTGGGAGGGATGACATATACCCCCATACCTGATATGTGAATGGCATTTATTATTGACATCAGAAGGTGTACCTTTGTGTGACATTCACTGGTCAGGTATACCTGAGAACTGCTCACTGGAGTGTCTTACACCCTTTCCACAGGTCCCTCTTGGACAGCTGAGGTCCATGTTCACCTCGAACACCCCAATTGATGTTCACGGTACTCGGGAGTGTCTATCCCTCCCGGGTCCAGAGATTAGCCATATGAGGACGATAATTAATGACCCTCATTCTTCACGGTGACCTGATACAGCACATCTCTTTTGAGCTGCTGTGAAACCAAACTGAGATACACCTTATGATAATGATGCCAACTTTCCCTTCGTATCTCAGCATGTTCCTCTATCCTCTCTGCCTTAGCTCCCTTGTTATACTGTTTCTAATAGACTTAACCAGAAGAAATTTAGTCTCCTTTTTAGATAGTTCCTTTGGAAATCCTTCCTAAACCAAGTCAAGATCTTAAGCTTTTTATCTGTTTTATTTTTTCCCTTCTAGTGTGACAGTTTTAAATCCATAGTAAAAACAAATACACAGCATAGCACAAAATAGATGGTCAAGCAAATACAGTCAAGGTGACTGTTAGAGGGGCTTCATCCTCCCCGCTTACTCTGCAGGCCACTGCAAGGATGTTTCTCTGGGCCCAGATGCTCTCATTCTTCTGCTTTGTTTATACCTATAAAGGAGTAGGAACTGGGGTAGCCCTTGGGGATCAAGCATCTCTCTAGGCCAGTTAGCAGCCTAAGGGTTTGGAAGAAGAATCTTGTTATCATCAGTTTTTCAAATGGATCTCAGTAAGACTTTACAGCCCTAGGACCCTGAGAAAGTGTGTGTGTGTGTGTGTGTCTGTGTGTATGTGTTGATGATGGAGCTGTTGTCCTCCATCATCAACATAAGCTAGGAATTAGCTTATCATAAGGGGTCTAGAGCTCCTCCATAAGCTAGGAATTAGCTTATCATAAGGGGTCTAGAGCTCCCAACTCATTTCATCTCCCCAAGAAAGGCACCTTGCCAGAAAAAAAATAACCTCAAGAGTGACTCAGGAAAGATGTCCCAGAGGTAGGGGTCTTATGTATACATGCATGGCTGGAATGGGTGAGTTGGGTTGAAGGGTATTCAAGAACTCAGGTTCCCTGGATGACATCCAGATGCTAAGACTTCACAAGGTGTATTTCCTGTTCAGCTGGGAGGGTCCCAGACTTCCATCTGCTGGCTGACAGTAGCCATCTGCTGGCTAAAGAGGATTCAGGTTTCCCGGAAGTCTGTTCCTCTAGTGTTCAAGACCACTCTCAATGTATGTTGTGTGTGTTTTCCCAGAAGCACGTCTCCTTCTTATGGGAGCATCCTGTCCTAGAGTCAGTGCTTTGTGGTTAATAAGTGATTTGAGAGGGCAAAATTCCCAAGTTCTCCTTTGCTGCCTCTCTGCGTGTCTTCCTTGGCCAATCCTGGGGAGCTGCGCCATACTCTCCATTGCTTCCACTCCTTGAAAGAACAAACATCTTCACTGCAGCCTCAGAACGCTGGTGTGAGGTGATTGTTTGTAGATGTTTCCATGACACTCATTTATTTCTTCTGCAAATACAACTGTATTGGGGGAGGGGATGAGGGAATGTTGGAGAGATAGGAAGAGCTTCCAATTTCCTCCTCTATATTCCTCTGTAGGAATGAGAATCCCACCTTCTTTTTTCATGGATCCCACCATCCCCAACCCCTCAACTGCCCTCCCAAGCCCACCCCAAACCACCTTGGCTTCATGCAGCTGAGATAGGGCTGGCTACCTTGTTAGGTGGGCAGGGGAGGAATCTTGTGCACGAGGAGGCAGCCTGTTTTAGAAGGGGGAAAAAAAACTTTTATTGCTCTAACTGGAGATTAAGTAATGATGAGCAAGGATGACCAGCACACTGGGGGTGCAGTGTGAATGTACCCGTGCTTCAGAGGGGGTCTGTGACACTCGTGAGCCCAGCCGATGACTCATTCTAATTCTTAGCGACTTTGAGAGGTCATTTTAGTCATTCCCCTGCCTTCAGGCAGGAAGGAGCTTCACTTAACATCACGTTTGGGTAGGAGGGGTTGCTTGGCTGAGGGAAAGAGAGTCCGGGTGTGCAAAGGAGTGGGGGTGGGGAAGGTAGCGCGTGACCTCTTTGAGATCTCCAGCGAAGGACGTTCCCAAGCTTTCCCAGCCTGCCGGTTCCTGGGTTTCCCCATCATTGAATCAGTGTCGTCCTCCGGGAACTGCTTTTTGCTGGATGGAAACCGGATGTTGGGTTCCCGGGGTGGGCGGGGGCGACGTCCCCTCAGACCTGTCAGGGGTAATTGAGACTCCCGAGGGTCCCGTTAGCAAGCCCCAGGTGCTCCCCTTTCCCTCCCCACAAACTTGCCATGCAGAGTGAGCACAGACCAGCACAGAGCCGAGTCGCTACAACGCCTTTTTCCTGGCAATGCGCATGATTCTGCGGCTCTGTGCTCGCCACTCTTCAACGCACCTTGAAATGGGCTCGCCTCCTTCGCGTCGCGACGGGCAGACATTCGAGCCAATCGGCCCCCAGGCTGGTGGGTGACGCCCAATGGGCGGGTGGCAGGGGCGGTCCCGGAGGCCCGGCCCGGCTAGGCTTCACCTTGGAGCTGGCTGCGCTCCGCCTGGGCTAGTAGTGCAGGTGCCGCTGCGCCGGGGGCCGGGGAGGCTGCGCGCCGAGCCCAGCGGAGCTGGGGAGGGATGGAGAGCGGGCCACCCGGGCTGCAGGAGCACCGGCGCGGGGCGTAGGCGGGCGCGAGCGGGCGTGAGTGGGCGCTCGGGCGCAAGAAGCGTGCGGGCGCAGGAGCACTTTGCGATAGGATGAGGCTCTTGGCTGGCGCGCGGTAGTACTATGATTTGGTATGTGGCCACTTTGATAGCAAGTGTGATCAGCATCCGAGGTCTTGCGGCTCAAGGTGAGTTGAAGTGCAGCGTCCCTTCTCTGCCCCTCCCTGGCGCTCCCAGCCCCTGCCCTGCGGAGCGCCGCGCCTTTCCGCGGACGAGGCTCGGTCTCGGGCCAGGCGCGCTCTGGGTACCGCCGGGAGGGTCGGGGTGGGGGGGCCGCGGGCCGGTGGGGCGGGCCGGGAAGGAGCCCGAGCTCACGGGCTGCCCGGCACTTGGGAAAAGACGCCTTGGGATCCGGGTCGACTGCGCTCACCTTCGACCCGCGGGGCCCCACATCAGCGTGCCCAGACGGATGCCCTTTGCCTGAGTCACCGCCTCCTCCGGGTTTGGGGACTCGGCGCCTTGCCTAACTCTGGCTGCGGGAGTTTGAGGGTCTTCGGCAGGCTGCAGCACGCTCGAGCCCCGCTCAGCGCCGCCGCTCCGCGGAAAAGCCCTTGCAGGGAGACGCGACCCTGAGCCGCGGGACTCTTGGCACCCACGGTTCAGGGATGAAATCGTCGTCCCTGCGGCGCAGACCCTCCAGCTCTCGCACCCCTAGTCCCTACATTAGAGCTGCGGGAGGTCAGATTCCTGGGGGGGAGGGGGCTAAAGCCCCGGAGAGGGGAAGAACTGGTTAAGCCCCGGGGTCCCTCGACCGGCTCCGAGGAGGGTCAGCTTTGGGCTGGTCCTTCTGACAGCCGCGCCTGTTTCAACCGCACCTGGGCCCGGGCCAGGCAAAAGTTCCCTGGGAGCGCGCTCCAGCAGGGCCGACCCCACGCCGCCCTCCCCGCTGCGAGGCAGAGCTGGCGGGGGGGCGGGGTGGGGAGGGAGACCGGATCGGGGGGAGTCCCCATGGCTGCTTCACGAAGCCGGGAGAGGTTTTTCTCTTTCGGTTTCTGCGTCTGACCTGGGGAAGAGGAAAGAGAGAAGCCAGTGAGTTGGGTGTTGCGTGCGCGAGCGCGCGGGCTTTTGCTTTGGAGACGGGCGAAGCGACCAGCAAGCCTCTGGGTGGCACCCCAGGCTCTCGGCCCTTGTATGGCAATAGGAGCGGAGCCTGGAGGGTGCCAGGACTCTGTGAGTTCACGGTTCTCAGAGCGCAGACACAACCCAGCTGCGGCAAGTCCACAGAGGCTGGAGGAGATGCCTGCGGGAGAGACCCGGTCGGTGGGTGAAGTCAGCTAGGAGGACCTGCCACCAGGAAAACCTGCTCCCAGCTCCATGGAAAGGGGCTGGCAGGAGGTGACTTCTACCGGAGCCGCTTGTCACCTTTTCTGGGGATGTGTAGGGGGAAGGGAAGGTGCTTTGAGAAAGTTTCTGGAATGGAATATGTCTCCCATGCTATTGGGGGTGGGGGTGGTGTCTGTAAACAGACTCCGAGGGCTGAGGGAAGGGGATTTTGTTAAACGTTACCTTAACCTGGATGATTTAAACCTTTCCAGCTGTCGGGTGGGATACTGACATCAGGATGAGCACAGCGCTCATGGAATGGGGCTGGGAGTTAGAATCTGTCTCTAGCCTGAGCCTCCTACTTCCCCGAAAGCCTGGTAGTTCCAGTGCCCTAGGTTTCCTCCCCTCTGGTTTTTGGTATGTTCCTGCCATGGGACTCTCACTGAAAGCACAAAAGGATATGCTGGGATCTTTGAATAAAAAAGATACTGACGGGAGGCCCTGAGTTAGGCTCCAAACCCAAGAAGTCAGGGTGAGGGGATGGGCTTTTTGCAAGTTTGAGCACAAGGTAAAGGCAAGTGGGTTTATATTGCAGCAACACATAGAATGGCAAGACCAAAAGAAGGACTTCCCCATATTGATGGTTGTTGGGCATGAAGGTTATACCTTCTTTCTGGGCATGAAGAGGTCCTGCTGTCTGTGATGGTTTGACATGCCTGCCACACTCTTTTGGTATTGGGGTCTTTGTAGTATAAGGAGGCTCTACATGTGATGGAAAAGCACCTATGTCTAGAGTCAAATGACCTGGATTCAAATCCTGGCTCTGTCACTTTCCTGGCCTTGTGACCTTGGACACATTATTCAACCTCTCTAAATGTCACTGGCATCAATGGAACATGGGGTATGAGCTTACAGGATTTTTTGTGAACATAAAGACCTATAAAGAATTGAATGGCTACCTGTTACATTGTAAATGCTCAATAAATATTATTATTATTATTTTTATTATTATTGTTATTTCAATATCGGGGGTTTCAGGCCCCTTCTCAATTTCTTGTCCTTGGCCATTTAGGGTAACGGGAACTGGGAGTGTCTTGGGGGAAGTTCAGCAGGCTTCCTCAGTCGGGAACCAAGCCCCCTTTTATGGCTGACCTTGTCTGGGGAGAACCTCTTATCCCTCTCTCTCCCAGGGAGATGTGCAGAGTGAGCAGGCCTCGGGCTTGCTTGGAAATCCTTTGAAAGATCTGCATAACTGGAGTTTCATCGGTGGCCAGAGGCTTGTGGGAAGGACGCAGAGCGTCCAGCTGGCCGGCAGCTCATAGCATCCCAGCCTCTGGAGAGAGGAAGAGGGGGCCTGCTCGGAGAGAAACACCCCTCAGTGCTCAAATTGCTGGCTCCCTGTGAGAGCTCAGCTGTTCTCCCCCTGAACTGACAGAGGTGACTTCTGGGAGATTCCTGAGGGGGAGGGGCTTGAGATTTCTCTCTTAAGGTTTGACTGAAGCAGGGTCTGTTCCAGTAGAGGGCTGAAAGAGAATGGCCCCTGGGCAGTGTAGGGTTGAGACAGAAAAAGGAATGGACTCTCTCTTTTGACTTTAACTATGTGTATCTGGTTTGAGTCCATGGTGAGGGACCAAAGATATCTGGAGCCAGGAAAACGGTTTGGAGTCTCAGCATCCCAGATTTGCTGAGCAAGCTTGGGGGAGAACTGGGCTCTGCTAGACGGACTCTGAGGCTGATTGGGAAGGGGAAGTCTGGGCTTCCTCCTCCTGTCTACCCCAGATCCTGTGGTTGGATTATCTCTGACTACAGAATCCCGAGCTCCTGCCGGTAGCTGGGCCAATACCCTCTATTCTCTGCCTGGCTGTGACCTTTCCTCCGTCCCTTTGGCAAAGAAGATATGAGGGGGGAGGTTCAGAACCAGAGAAGTAGCTGCGCAGTGTGTGCATGTGTGTTCATCTGCCACACACGTGCTGAAAGAAGGGGTGTGTCTAGTGTGTGCATCCTGGGGCAAGCTGAGTGATGTGTTAGAAATGGCACAAGGGAGGGGTAGCAGGAGGCGTCATCTTCAGTTGCTGGCCTGAGGCCCAGCATCTGCTGGACTTGAACTTGTCAGGCCCCAGAACTGGTTGGTTTCATGATTACAGCTCTGAGACAGAAAACCAGGCTCTGGTTACCCTAAGAGCAGAGGCTGCCTAGCTGGGGAATGCAGCAACCTAGCAGCTCTCTCTGCCCCTCCCTTTCCTGGCATGCTTTTTCCCGGTGCCCGGTCCCCAGCCAGGGTGCGGTCCTCATAGCCTGCCTGCTGCCGCTACTTCTCGGTCTGCTGGGTGCTGGCTCTGCTGGCTCTCTGTCCCAGCCTTCCTGGGTGCTGTGCCAGGGGAGTGAGGGCAGGGAGGTGAGCCTGTAGGTGGAGTAGGTCTGAGACCGAAGGTACTTCTCCATGAACATCTCCTCCCTCCCCCACACATCCTGATGCCTTCTCAGGCCCGGAACCAGGATCTCAGGGGAGAGCTTCTCTCTGCTCCCTAAGATGGGTTAAGCAGCTTGTGTGAAGAGTGGATCTGAATTGTGAAAAGAGCTGTCATTGGCGCGAGCTGTCTGAAGGTGTAAGCACTTGCCTGACTGTGTGTGCACATCTGTGTGCATGCCCATGTCTCTGTGTGCTTGCACACGTGATCATGTTAGCCCACATGTGCATGTGTATGCATGCCTTTATGTGTGTGCATGTATGGTGTTTGTGTCTTCACACCTGTATGCATGTTTGTGTGTGCACCTGTGAGATGGAGCAGGACGGGGACAATTAGGTTCCAGGCATGAGGTCGGGAGCTGCTGCCCCCCAACCCCCCACCAGGGCTGTGGAGCACAGGGAGACTCCTCTTGGAGTGAATGCCCCCTTGCTTTCCTCATCACCCTGCTTTGCACCTGAGTCTAGGCATCCCAGAAGTTTCCAAAGTTGGAAGCTTAGCCCAGGGTTTGAATTGAGAGATACTTGAGTTCCCAGAGAGAGCCTAAGTGAGGGACAAACACAGGCAGAGATCCTGGGGTTGCTGAAAATCTGTGTCTTGTTCAGGAGGGGCAGTGGCATCAGGGAGCCCAACACACCTGAGTGGAGAAGGCGTGGCTCTGGGGAGACAGGAGAGGGTGGGCGGGGAGCAGAGGCAGCTTGGAGCTTGGTCCCCTCAGGGGCACTGCTCGCGGGAGCAAGCCCATCTGCCTGAGGCAGCTGACCTATTTTTCTTAGGAATCTTCCTGCTTTTCTGTTCTCTCTGGCATGAATAAGCTGGAGACTGGTGAGCAGAGATGGACTTCCATGGGGTTCTAGAGAACAATTCCCTCAAGGCTTTGAGGGAGTCCCAGCAGCCTCACTCTCCTGAGAAGAGAGGGGACTGGGATAAACTCCTCTCAACCTGTCCTCTGTCTCCCCTCACCCCGCTCTCCCTTACCTCCTGCCTGTTCACAAGCCCCCCTGAGAAGGTCTGTGGTAAATAGCCGGTGCACAGGCTGGACTTCACAAATGGCAAGGTGAGCCACTGTCCTCATCTCTTGGCTTCTGCGTAGGGAATGCTGACACTTCGTTGTGAGTGAACATGGGGCTTCCATTTCCTGCTGAATTCGCCACCCCCACTGGTGTGGCCTTGTGTGGACAGGGCCCCTGGTACCCTTATCTGACCAGCTGGCTCCTCACACACACATGCTCTGGACATGTACACGTATGTGTACACACCTGAGAATTTGCATGCTCATTCAGGGGGCAGGTGTCCTCTGCTCAGGTGTTGGAGAGGTAGGGAGGGGTGTGACTAGGCCTTTCTGCTGAGGAGCCATTAATGGAACAGGGTAGAGGTTGAATTACTGCCTACTTCCTGTC